CTTTTTTTAATAATAAGTGAAGCTATTTTTCCTTATTCCCCAGCACTGAGCAAAACTGCTAGAAATTCTTCTTTAAAAATGGGCACCGTGGTAAAACACGTGACAATGTGGCACCGACTGAAACTCAAAACCTGATCTAAATGTGCTGGGCATCCAGTTTAAAGAGCCTGTCTGAGAGCGCCCTGGGCTGAAACGATTCCCACCTTGCTTTTGCAATATTCAGGGCCGAAACAGATTCGAAAAGGGGTCATCTCTTGATGCAAAAGCCTCCTGAACTGCTGCTTTGTTCTATGTGCACTTACTAAGACCTGGAAAGGCACGCGGCAGAAAAAGGCTACCGAATGTTGGGCTGCAGGAATGGTCTGCCATAGGCCACTTCCGCACTGTCATTTTTGTCACTCTTTTGTCCCTATTGCTTTGGGTCCCCCCCCCCCTTTCCACATGTGTTTTGCTCCCTCTGGGACTACTTGGGAGAGCAAAACACACTGTGGGGGGGGACCCTGAAGCAATAGGGACAAACAAGTAACGAAAATGACAAAGCAGAAGTGACCTTAGTCTAGATGGCAGGTGAGGACAATCCTGATTCTGAATGCTTCCATCGCTGCAGCATCCTTGCAGAGAGGAAACCAATACAGTACACAAAGGGCTAGACTACAATCTTTGCACCTGGTGTGCCACGTGTTCTGTTTGCTGGGGGGGGGGGGTGTTATTTAACATGGGGACATGTGCAAAAGCACATTGCTTCCAACCCTTCTCTACCCAGAATAAGGATACTGGTATGAATCAAGTCATCCCTGTTCTTTTAGCAAGTCCTTGGATACCTTTCCTCCTCCATGTTGGACACATTGCTTAAAGGTTCCGTGCATAAAGGTTTGGGGAGGGGCTGTGGCGTCTGCTTGGCATGCAGAAGGTCCCAGGTTCAGTCCCCAGCATCTCCACTTAAGAGGACTAGGTAGTTAGTGAGGTGAAAGACCTTAGCCTGAGTTGTTGGAGAGCCACTGCCAGTCTGAGTAGACAGTACTGACTTTGATGGACCGAGGGTCTGATTCGGTATAAGGCAGCTTCATGTGTTGAAAACAGACCAAAACAAAATACATGTGATACTTGCATGGGCATCTGCAGGATGTGTACTACTGACCTGACTGTAATAGTTTTCTTTTTAAAAATACTTACAAAGGTTGAACGGAATACAGAATCTCATGACAGACCATGTTATGTTATGCTTGATATGGAATATCTGCAACTCAGACACATCTTGGCAATATTTGCCATCTGCCGGGGGAGGAGATATGGGAGGAAGGTTGAGGAAGTCTAGTGCACCTTAAAAAGGCATTTCTAAAATCTCCTCAAAATGAGGAATGCATTTCACCAGGGACAGGTATCAGAGAAGGGGGACTGTCCCTGCTACATGCTCCAGTGTGGTGTAATAATTAGAGTGTCAGCCTGGGATCTGGTAGATCTGAGTTCAAATCCCACTCTGCCTTTAAATTTGGGGCACTTGTGTTGTCTGTCTCTCTCTCTCTCCCAGCCTAGTCTACTTCACAACATTTTGTAAGGCTAAACTGGGGAAGGAGAAGAGAAGAGGAAGAGCTTGGATTTATACCCCACCCTTCACAACCAGAAAGAATCTCAGAGCAGCTTACAATCCCTTTCCCTTCCCCTTCCCACAACGGACACCCTGTGAGGTAGGTGGGGCTGAGAGAGCTCTCTTGAGAACTGCTCCTGAGAGAACAGCTCTGAAAGAACTTATGACTGACCCAAGGTCACACCAGCAGCTGCATGTGGAGGAGTGGGGAATCAAACCCGATTCTCCCAGATTAGAGTCTGTGCTCCTAAACACTACACCAAACTGGCTCTCTTGTGCCTCCCAGGGCCTTCTCCTTTGAGCTAGAGTAAAATAACTACCCACTCTGTTGCCCTCTTTCATCTCTTTAATGGCTTTTTAAATTTTATCAGCTGAGAACCACGGATCAGCTGTTGAGAAGGGAGGTGAGAATTGCCAGGCTGTGATGGGGGGGAAGCAAGAATCTCATCATATCAGCCTTTCTCCTCTGAGACGATAAAAAGGGGACAGGCCAACGGGTGCCATGGGGACAGGGCATGAATGAGTAAACCTCCACCCCGCTCGTTCCTACTTCTACAATGGAGGTGGCTTTTTCCATCCTCCACATGGAGACTGGTTAGTTGGAGTGTCTGGAAATTAGAGGGTCCCCTCTGTACCCGAACTGTCTGTTCAGCCATCATATCCTGCTACTTATGTAGGCCAGGCCTATTACTATGGCTCACAAAGATCTGAAGCGCACCTTAGGTCTTTCTTCTGATCTTGATCTCTGGTGCCTATAGGTTAGCTCAGGCTTGATCCAGCAGATTTAGGGGCTTGCCTTCCAGGAAGCCCTGTTCCTTGCCAAGAGAGCCAGTAGTTGATGCGAGGTGAACACTCTTACCAGGTCTCTGGAGTTGCCTCTTGATGAGATGCTGGATATGGCTCAGCAAAGAACTTGCTGCCGTCCCGGGGAACAGCCGTGGCAGACGTGACGTCGGCTGTCTCCCGGCCCAGCCTGGATTGCTGCTGGAGCACAAAGAATCTGTGTCTGCACAAAACAGGGCTATTATTTGCAGTCAATTTTCTGCCTCCCACAGCTCAGGTCAGCTGGATTTTCTTCCCCAGCAGCAAATGGGGATTTGTCGTCGGCTGTGGTTCAGCTGAGCCGTGACCGGAAGCCCTTGCTAGCATCCTTCAGCGTTTTCCCTGCATGCCTGGACCCCACTGCTCATCCCTCATTGGATCCCAGTGCTTGAAGCATATGGCTGAGCAGAAGCCACATTCTGAGTTCCTTCGCACAACTCTCCTAGTGAGAAATCTGGATGTGCAAACCGTTTCATAGTGTCGTCTGTCTGGCCAGCCAGGCTTACTGAAGGGCTCCACCACTTGTTCCGTTAACGTCAGAAAGGTCTCATGTGAAAGCCTGAACTACAGAACTTTTAGTGGTGGATAGGGCTGTCAAGTAGCAGCCCACTTGCAGTGACCTCATAGAGTTTGCAAGGCAAGGGACGAACGGAGGTGGTTTGCCATGGCTTGCCTCTTTGTAGCAACCCTGGACTCCTTTGGTGGTCCCCCATCCAAATATTAGCCAGGGCTGACCAATGTTCCCTCTAAGCTGTGGAGTCTTGTGAGCAAAAATTCTCCTTTGTGAGCTCCTGGCATTAAAGTTGTGAGCGAGCAATTCGGCTACTACATAAATTAGTTCGCTCTGGAGCCATCTTTCCTGAGCTAAGAGAAAAATGTGTGAGCCGGAGGCTAAAAAATTGTGAGCTAGCTCACACTAACTCAGCTTAGAGGGAACACTGGGGCTGAGACCCTCCTTAGCTTCTGAGATCTGGCGAGATTGAGCTAGCCTGAGACATCCAGGTTAGGGTACAGAAAGATTGCCTCCTGATTTAACAGCAGTTGCTAGTGGACCTTAAAACTCTAAAGTGCTCTCAGTGGCGTAAGGACCTGAAGAACCTGGATGGATCAGATAAGTGTTCCGTCTAGTCCCACATCCTTTTTCATATAACAGCCAACCATTTGCCATGGAGGGCCAATTGATCGGGCACAGAAGCCAAGGCCTTCTCCTATTGTTGCCTCCTAGCATTGGAGGTTTAATGTCTCTGGACGTGGAGGAGGTTCCCTTTAGTCACCATGGCTAGTAGCCACCGATGGACCTATCCTCCATGCATCTGTCTAATCCCCTTTTAAAGCCATCTATGCTTGTGGTAATTATCATTGCACAATTTAATTAACTCATTGAGTAAAGAAGTATTTCCTTTTGTCCATCCTGAATCTATTGCCCAGCAACTTACTTAGGTGCCCCCAAATTCCATTCCTACGATATCCTAAACCAGTAGTGGAAATTGAGCTCAAGGCACAGAAGAACTCTTGATAATTTATAAACAGCAATAACAGTGGAAGCAGTGCAGAGTGATTTGGCGGTGATCTGCTTCACACACATGAGACTGCCTTATACTGAATCATATTCTTACTTCATCAGGATCAGTATTATCTACTCAGACTGGCAGTGGCTTTCTAGGGTCTTAGGTTGAAGTCTTTCCCATCTCCTCCTACCTATTCCTCTTAACTACCAGGTGCCATTAGGAGGTCCAGCAGTGGGGCCAGGACACTATAAGCCCTCCCACTGTTGTCGTCCCCCCCAAGCACCAAGCAATGCAACAGAGGCAACAGTGGGAGGGCTTCTAGTGTCCTGGCCCCATTGTTGGAACCTGGTATTTTTGGCCACTGTGTGACAGAGTGTTGGACTAGATCAGCCATTGGCCTGATCCAACATTGGCTTCTCTTAACTGGAGACGCTGGAGATTGAGCCTGAGATCTTCTGCATGCAAAGCAGAGGTTCTACTGCAGAGCCACAGCCCCTCCCCTCAAATGCTTAAAAAAGCCCAAGGCCAGAGCCATCACTGACTTCAAGTACATAATCAGGCATTTGGTTATCAGGATGGGTCTACGAGATATCTGACTGACAGGACAATCTAAACTTGTTTCCGCTTGGCAAGCTTTCAGGCTGTAGTAAGCGCCTTCAAACACGTAGACATTTCAGAGCAAAAGAGTTGGGGTGGGGTGGAGCAGTCACATACCTAAGTTTTATATTTCCTCACATGATTCTTGAACAGGACATTTATACTTAATCATGATTGGGGTTTTGAATGGCTATGGGTGAGCTGCTCGGATTATACAGCATACTCACAAACATTCCAAGTGCTTGGGGTACACAGCTGTTGGCATGGGTGCAATCCAGTTACTCAGCATAAGGAGATGATGGGTAAATGAAGTGTCGAAAGTGAGTGAAAGGATATATAACTGTGTTACTTAGGAGCATAATTCCTGGCTTGCAAGGGCTGGAGGGGTGTGTCCTGCCTGGCTGGCCATGGGCTAGTATTAGTGCTTTCCAAGAGGCATTGGGGATTCTTTTCCTCACTGTTTTTGATCATGTTTATTTTCTTTGCAGCAAACTTCGACATCAGGCACAGAGCGAGAGATTCGGTTACAAAGAGGTAAGGGAGCCGGGTGGTCTGGGTTTTAAGTAGTTTTCCTGGTGCCTTCTGGCCTAGATCAAATAAGTGGTTTTATGTATGAATGGGCATAGAAAGATGCAGAGATGCCTCCCATTGAACTTTCAGGCAGTGGCTGCGGGGGCTGGCCTAACTAGAAACCCACAAACTTTTGTAAGGACTGCTGAAGACCATGATGTCCCTATTGCTGGACACAGGCAGTCAGGGAAACAGAGCCCATTTCTCTTATTCCCTAACATTAGAACCACCAGGAGGAACACTCTGCAGAGATCTTATGCACTTCCATGCCTCTGTTTCATTGACTGGAACTCCAGCAATAGCAATAGCTTTATAACTTGGCCGGGCTTAGCCTTTTCCAAAGCAGAATCCAGCTGCTGCAGCCCACCTGCTCAGGGTATAATCCAGCCTTAGACATCCAATTGGTATGTTCCCAGAGGTTGAACTAACTCCAGTTGTGCAGCTGAATTCATAGCAAAAGTAACCACAGGTGGCTTTAAATCAGTAGAGGGTAGCATCGCTAACTGGCCTGGAGAAAAGAAATGTCCTTTTTAAGAGAGACTTAAAGGGATATTATTTGTCAGGTGCAGGTATTTACCTCCATCCCATTAAACGCTTTAACCTCCCATTTCTACACATTAAATCTCAATTAAAGGGACAGACTGCTTTTCTCCAGACCAGTTGGCAACCCTGCTGGAGGGAAGAACAAGGCCTATGCATGCACCTGGCAACAAGCACATTCATTGGTGCTGCTTGCCGTCAGTTCTGAATGAAGCCCTGGAGATTCCCCAGAAAGTGGCCAGTGGTCCACTAACAGACCACATTTTAGTTTTTTCCGGCCCTGTTTCATGACTTAAACTGCAGTCCTCTGATACTTACTGGGAAGCATTACTGGATGAGTCTTGACCTGTTTAGCTATACGATCTAAACCACAGGTGGGTCTTCAGAATTGATGCACTCCATAGAACGCCTCTCTGCCCAGGGAGATTGGTCTGTCCCCTTCTTTTACCATCTTCCACCAGCGGGTGAAGATTTTTGTTATGTTTTGTTTGGCATTCCCGCAGTGATCCCTCTTTCCTGACCAATTTTTTAACTGTTTTTATGTTTTTTATGTTTTTCTGTGTGTTAGTGGACCACTGGTTAAGAGCACAGAGTCTAATCTGGGAGAACCGGGTTTGATTCCCCACTCCTCCACATGCAGCTGCTGGTGTGAACTTGGGTCAGTCATAAGTTCTTTCAGAGCTCTTCTCTTAAGAAGAGCTAGTTTGGTGCAGTGGTTAAGTGCGCGGACTCTAATCTGGGACAACCGGGTTTGATTCCCCACTCCTCCACTTGCACCTGCCTGGTTGACCTTGGGCAAGCTGTAGTTCTGATAAGGAGCTGTTCTTGAAAAATAACAGTTTCTCTCAAGATCTCTCTCAGCCCCACCCACCTCACAGGTGTCTGTTGTGGGGAGGGGAAGGGAAAGGAGTTTGTAAGCCGCTCTGAGACACCTTTGGGTAGTGAAGGGCGGGGTATAAATCCAATCTCTTCTTCTGACAGAAACTTTGGTAATGGGGAAAATACTCCACATTCAACTGATGGGGCCCACCCAGGGAGTCTGTCTGTTTTCTTCATAAGCCAAGATTTTCAGTGTTCAATAGCAGCTGCTGTCTGCCTGCGCGCCGATCGGCGGGATCAAAATACCTGCCCTGGTTATTCAGCACCATGTCCTGATCCTAATCTGCCTGCTTCTCTTTCCTGTTTTTTCTCTCAGGTGGTTTTGAAAGGTGATGCCAGAAAACTAAACTTGCACGGGGTGAGTGCTGAACACACTTTGATTAACTCAGACAAGAGGGCTGGCATTTCACCCAGCCTTTCGAAAACAAGGCTCTGTTGTGCTTTTCTCCTGGGCCGCAGAGAGACTACAAAGGGCAATCATGACTTGCAGAAACACATGCCTGTGAATCTACACAAATATTCAGTAACCCAGTGAACATCCGTGCAACTGAACGAAACAAAAGCATCTAGAGGCAAACGTTTGAAGCAAATGCATCTCAAGAAGGGGGGGGGGATTCTAACCCAGATTCATTCAAAACTGTTCTTTTAGGGGTGCCTCTACAGATATCTTGAATAGCTTCAGAAGCGTGGTGTAGTAGTTGCAGTGTTGGACTAGGATCTGGGAGACCAAGTTTCAAATCCCCACTCTCCCATGGAAGCTTCCTGGGTGACCTTGGTCTGGTCACCCACTCTCAGCCTAACCTACCTCACAGGGAGGTTGTGTGGATAAAATGGAGGAGAGGAGAATGGCATAAGGGTCCCCTTTGGGGAGAAACGCAGGATGTAAAAGAAGAAAATACTGATGATGATGATGATGATGATAACAACGAATGTGCATCCAGCTCCTACAGACCACCTGCTCTAGGATCTCCTGGTCCTCCATTAGAGCAAACTCTGATGCATGAGAAGACAAAGTAGCGGCCTCTGGTGGAAGCTGTTGGAAGTAATGGGGTAGATCCAGCCCCCATCCTACCACTCCACTGAGCAAAGTTTGTTTACTTCTGCATGTTCTTATAGCCCACCTTTCCTTATGACACAAGTTTGATCCCTTGCTCCAGTCGAAGAAGCCTTTCTCCAAATTAATTTCAGGGGGTAGCTGTGTGTTGGTCTGCAGTGGAACATCTAGACACGGGTATGACAGCCAAATATCAAGAGACAGTGTGGGGTGATTTCTGCTCAAATTCATGGGAAGCATCTGGGGAGAGCAGCTAGATTGTAGTCCAGCAGCACCCTAGAGACCAGCAGGATCTTTAGGGTATGTGCTTTTGAGAGTCAGAGCTCCCTTCATCAGATACCTTTTGTCTCTTTCTTACCTTTCTGAAGGTACCTTTGGCTTACCCTTCTCCTAATCAAATGTCTCTTCCATTGGAGGAAGAACCGATTAAGTTGGAGGAAGGCTACTTGGAGGATGGTTGGATCCACTCAATGTCATAGTCTGATTTGGCTCTGTGCATAAGTTAGCCATGTACCATTGTGTCATCTGTGATATGGGGGGGGGGGCAGTCTGGGATGAACTCTCAGTTCATGTAGGGATGCCTACCTAAGAAGACTTCATCTATGGGGGGGGGGGGGGGGGATTTTTTTTTGTGAGGCAACCCCTAGTGGGGCTTGGATGTTTCAGAGAGGTGGTTTAGTATTGCCTGCTTCTGCATCCCGGCCCTGGTATTTCTTGGAGGTCTCCTATCCACGGACTTGCCAGGGTTGGCCCTGCTTAGCTTCCGAGATCAGGCTTGCCTGGGCTATCCAGGTCAGGGCCTAAGAAGACTTAATTTTGAATTGGCCCTCTCCTGCATCAGTGCTTACTTGTGCACATGAATATAGGTGCTTCACACGGCCAGCAGTAGTCAGTGTGGGGAAAAGATAGCTTATTTTCTACATTCTGGTATGTAGGTACCATATGTGGCCATCTGAGCACATGCTGCTCCTGTAAAAAGTTTCAGCACCGCTTGCTGCGCGTGTCCATCCACCACTGCTCATAAATGGTTTATGACAACAGCACTGCAAACATCATTTTTCAAGTGTATGCAGTGGCATGCCAGAAGCTACATGCTGTGTCTTCTGTGAGATGAAAACCCCATTTTGCAGGCATATTTTGTGTTTATCCCACAGATCTCTGGTACTCGTTAGTTGTAGGAATGGGATGTGACGAAGCCAGAAGCTGCCCCAAAATTGCTGAAAGTGGGCTGAGGTGCAAACCGCAGTCCCATGGCAGGAGGTGTAAAATTTCTGGAACTTGTGAAGCCACCAGGGAGATGAACTGAAAACGATGCATTTCTTGCTTGTCAAGTGTGAGCTTCTGGAACTTGTGAAGCCACCAGGGAGATGAACTGAAAACGATGCATTACTTGTTTGTCAAGTGTGAGCTTCTATTACTGCGTTAGCAACATTAAAAGCATCGTTTATAGTTATTTATAAAAATCTACATTACATATGTCTTTGTTTTATACAAGCAACATTGCAGATATACCTAGTATTAAAGGAAGGGCTGCATCCGGTGCTCTCTTGGCACGTATAGCTTAGGGTTTGTTCGTTTGTTTCTTGCCATTTGTCCAGTAAGAAAAAAATTATAGTTGCAACTAAAAAACACATTTTTCTGGGTTCTCCCCCCCAGCATGTACATCTCTGCCCATGAGTGTTTCTGCCCAACCTTGCAGATCCACATAACCCACGTTCTTAACACACCAGCTGCATTGTGTAAAGATGCCCCGGAGGTCACCCACATTGTAGACACAGTTTCATTCTTTATGCGTTGGATAAAAAGGGCTCTAGTTCACACGAGCTGATGCTGTGGTTAAATTTGTTGGTCTCTAAGGTGCTGCCTCAGACTCTTGCTGTTTTGTCTGCAGCAGACGAACACTTCTACCCCTCTGGGGTGACGGATAAGCCCTCGGTAGAAGGGTGACAGAACACACTGGCCATCCATGTCAGAAAGTCTGTAGTAAGAGACCCCAGAGTACTCCGTTACTTTGGGAGCCTCCAAGGTCAAAGAAATCTTCCTCAATCGGAGAGAACGGTGGGTCTAGGCCCCGTTCCATAGCTACTGGTGTCAAATGGTTTGGCATCACAAGGACTTGGGGGTAGGGTTGCCGGCTCCAGGTTGGGAAATACTTGGAGATTTGGGGGGGGGGTGGAGCCTGGAGAGAAGGGGTTGGGGGTTGGGACTTCAGTGGGGTACAATGCCATGGAGTCCACCTTCCAAAGCAGCCATTTTCTCCAAGTGAACTAATCTCTGTCGCCTGGAGATCAGTTGTAATGGTAAGAGATCTCCAGCCATCACCTGGAGACTGGCAACCTTAACTGGGGAGTACCCTTGACTCTGTTTAATTCCATGTGTGAAACGTGGGACCCATCTTTTGCTGCCGGTTCTGCCCTGGCTGAGGCACGGTCTGGCTTTGTAACGCCTGCTGATTCTATCTCCTCTCTCTCCCCCCCGCAGCAGACTTGCGCCGTCTGCCTAGAAGACTTTAAAGTGAAAGATGAGCTGGGAGTGTTGCCATGCCAACATGCCTTCCACAGAAAGTGAGTAGCTGCCAAGGACAGCCCAAATAGCTCCTTTGTGCGCCCGGCTCTGCCAACTGCCCAGTGCTGGCTCAACACCCTTTGTGCCTGTGGTTGGGAAGGGAGGTCGGCAATTCCTCTGGCAGCAAGCCCGACTTTAAGGTCTCTTGGGCCAAGCGGCTGAGAGTAGGCCTCAGCCGGAGCTTCCTGGATTGTGGCAATGATGAAGGTGATAATAAATGTAGAAGGACCACTGGGGTCAGATATTATTGTTATCAAAGGATTAACTGCTTCAGATGCCAGAACTGCGAGGATTAAGCCTCCAAAACCATGACCTCCTGGGTTAGACTTCCAGCCACCCAGAGTTAACACGCCCTCTCTAGCATTTCCTGGAGAGAAATCAGGACACTGGGGGAGTGTGGAGTGTGGTGTAGCAGAGTGCCAGACTAAGATGTAGGGGATTTCAGGGTCAGATCTTCACCATGTATCTCACTGGGTGACTTTGAGTGAGTCCTCCTCTTTCTCAGCCTAACCTGCCTCACAAGGCTGTTGTGAGGACAAAGTGGATGAAGGGAGACTCACACTGCCCTGAGTTATTTGGAGGAAGGGTGGGATAAGAATTCACTGGCTAGAGAGACAAAAGCACAAAACGGACAGTAGCTTTTCCCCTGAAGCCCTTCTCTCTCTACCATCTCTGCCTCTGATTCGCAGATTAAGCCACTGCCCAAACATTCTGCTTCCAGTGCCCCATGTGAGCCGAGAGTTGCCTCTGTGATGCCATTATTTGTGGCCACAACTCTTGTTTTCTGAAAATAAGGAGGGTGTGGTCCCAGTTTGGGGCCCACAGAACCATACCAAGTCAGGTCCCCTTAGTGATTAAACCTTTATGCTGTAAGGCATAAGCATGTCATTGTAGGAAGGAGTTGCACAAACCTTTGGTATCCCAAAGGTCTCTTCTCATTTGCTTTTTGTATCCATCTATTCAGTATCTTCTCTACTGCTTAGGAGGTCAACACTAGATATAATAGGGGGGACCCACATGTGTTTATTAAAGCAGGGGATTGAAGTCGTTCTTTGTTTTGTTTTTTTACCACCATCTTGTCACATCCTGTTCAGTCCCAACATCCAATACGGTGGCAGGGCTCAAGTTGCATTGGTCACTGGCCAGATCCAGTTGGAGCATTGACCAAGCAGCTGCCTAGAGCCGTCAAGACTTTTCCCGGGGGGGGGGGAGCGTGACAGTGATCCCTTTGCAAATGGTTTTCTTCACAGTAATCCACACAGTGAAAGGCTGTCTTAAAGGCAGATTTTAGATTTCTTTTTAATATAGATACATTCAGCCTTTTTGCAATGGGAGGGCTTCTACATTTATTATCACCTTCATCATTGCCACAATCAACAGTGGGAGGGCTTCTAATGTCCTGGCCCCACTGGTGGACCTCCTGATGGCACTGGTATTTCTGGCCACTGTGTGATGCAGAGTGTTGGACTGGATGAGCCTTTGGCCTGATCCAACATTGGCGTCTCTTATGTTCTTATGTTCTTAATTGAAAGGTATGGTTACCTGCAACATAGACACTAGATGGACAGGGTTGTTGTTGTTGGGGGGGGGGAGCAAGAATAGCAACAGGAGTTTTAAATGAATCAGACTGTTCGCATTTCTTGCCCAGGCAGATTTAAGGCTCCTTAATTCATGATGCTTTCACACATACTAAATAACACATACTAAATAAATTGGTGACAACCCGTCTTCTTGGTGGTCCTTTCAGTCCAATTTCAATGCACTTGGCAACTAGATTTTGCTGTATGAAAAGGCAAAATCCACTTGCAAATGGTCACTGAAGTGGATTGAAACTACATTATTTAGCATGTGTGAAGGGGTGATCAGAGGAATCAGGCCAAAGATGCATGACTCCAGGAGGTCAATGCTTAGCCTTTTCCCTGACATGCTAGTTTTCTACTTGGAGGGAATTTTTTTGGAAGGGAGAGCACTGCATCTTGTGGGCCCCTGTCTCAAGTACTACAGCCCAGACACAATTTCACTGCCTTGCTGAAACATATACCTAGTAGCATGTAACCAGTGTGGAACAGTGGTTAGAGGATCAGGCTAGGAGCTGGAGGAACCAGGTTCAGAGCCCTCCTCTGCCGTGGAAGTTTGCTGGGTGACCTTGAGCCAGTCACATGCTCTCAGCCTGGCCTACCTCACAGAGTGGTGGTCGTGAGGATGAAATAGAGGAGAGGAGAACAGTGCTGTAAGTTTGAGTCTAAATTGGGGAGAAAGAAGAAGAATGTGCCATTGAGTCACAACCAGCTCACGGCGACCCTGATCATGGGGCATCCCAGGCAAGAGGTGAGCAGAGGTAGTTTGCCATTGCCTTCCCCAGTGTGTCAACCAGTGTTCCCTCTAAGCTGAGTTAGTGTGAGCTAGCCCACAGTTTTTTAGCCTCTGGCTCACACATTTTTGCCTTGGCTCAGGAAGGATGGCCCCAGAGCAAACTAAGTTATGCAGTAGCCAAATCGCTCGCTCACAACTTCAGTGCCAGGAGCTCACAAAGTAGAATTTTTGCTCACAAGACTCCACAGCTTGGAGGGAGCATTGGTGACAACCCCTGTCTTCCTTGGGGGTCTCCCATCCAAATACTGAGTGTGGCAAGCCCAGGCAAAGGTGGCCTGTTTGAGCTGTTCTCACTGGGGAGGAAAGTGGTGTATCAAGAATAGAGGCACAAGACAAAAATAAAAAAGGGGAGGAAAACACTCGAAATTGAGCTGGGGGGGGGGAATGGCAGAGGAGGCCACATTGGGTCAGCCAAGATAAGGATGTTTCAGCCACAGGATACCCCCTAAAAAAGTCATACTCGGGTTTGAGTCCTCTTACTGTCTCCTTTTGGCCGACAGGTGCCTCGTGAAGTGGCTGGAAGTCCGGTGTGTCTGCCCCATGTGCAACAAGCCCATTGCAGGCCCTGCAGAGCCTCACCAGAGCATCGGGACCCTGCTGGATGAGCTGGTGTGACATTCGCCTCCCCCTGCCCATAACTGCTGCCCCGTAGCAGAGCCTCTGCTGAAGCAGACTGTTGTACAGAGACTCGGCGTCTGATACTTGCTTCCCAGCCAGAGACACCTTCTGCCAGGTGTCATCTTCTCCCTCCTAGGAGGAGGGAGGGAAGGACCATACCAAGTGCCAAGACGGAGGGCGAGCAGGCCTTGCTGTCCGTCTGCAGCCTGGGAGCAAGGGGATGCTGGATGAAGTCAAGCCTGAAAGCTGTGCGTCACCGTTCTCTTAACACGCCAAGAACTTGACCGCACCTCCCATGAGGACGTTACAAGTCTCTGCCACCAGATTTCTGAAACTGGACACTTTGGGCCAAAGCTCTGAGCTCCAGCAGCCAGATCGAGTCTTCCCTTCCTCTAGGAATTACAACCAACAAAAGGCAACTGCTCAGCGTCTCTTATTCCTATTTTTAGCAGGTCTAATAACACTCCCCCCTTTTTAAACGGAAACTCTCCACCCCCATTGTGGGACCACGGACTCCTGCTTGGGGAAGGATCCCTTTTTGCAGTTAAAAGCCAAGAGCTATAGCTTGGGTGCTGTCCGACCCAGATCAGTCGCTAGGTTCTGCTAAGATTCTTCTCTGCAAAACCTACAGTCTGTGTTTACGGACGGAAAAGCATTGCATGTGCCGCTGAAGATGCTGTCCAGCTGGCTGGCGGAAGAGCAGGGGGGTCAGTCTTTGCGCAGCTGCCTCGGACTTGTGGCTTGAGCAGGTGGGAACGGGGCCCGGGTCTTGACTCTGTCTTGGCCCCTCCTTACTGGCGGCTAGTGGAGGAGGAGGAGGCATCAGGGGAGATAAAGGGGGGGTTCTTCTGTTTTGATCTGGAAGATGGGTGGGCTGTATTTTCTTAAGTGGCCTTTGAAGTTTTTTCCCCCTTCCTATTCTGTCCTTGTGCAGAAGAAAAAAATAAATCTTCTCTTGAAACCTGCCGATTTGCATTTCTGAAATGAAACTTCGCTGCAGCACATCTGAACTGTATCTCTCCTGCCATGGGGGAAAGCAACTTGGGGATGGGGATTTCCTTCTCCCCATCATTGTTCTTCTCAGGCCCATAGCCAGAAAATTTTTTTTGGGGGGGTGGGGCATTGTCCCCCAACATTGTAATGTCCACTGTCCAGGACAGATCCAACAACGTCTCAGTCACACTCTCAGGCAGGGTTTAATCCAAAGTACAATGTTTATTCCACAAACCTTATGCCAGGCAACACTGCACTCACAACATGCTCCTGTTACAAGTAGACGACTGATAAAAACCCACTCTGCTAATGCCCTGCAGGTGGACATGACAACGCCAAGCGATCTTAAAGACACATTACACCACAAACATGACTATGTCACTTCCAGCAGTGATGTGCCAGATGTGACATAGGCATGGGGGGGCACCTCCTGAGGAGGGTGGGCTGCGGCCGAGCAGGAGGGGAAGGAGAGCTTCAGCCTCGTTGGGTCTCCCTGCTTCCACAGCTGATTTCTCAACTTTGAAAATTCAGCTGTGGAATACAGAAGACTCAGCAAGGCCGTACCCTCTCCTTCCCCTCCTGCTTGGCTGCAGCAAGGTGCCTCACCCGTTCTCCCAACCTTGGCCCCTTGCCAGTCCCCTGGTCCCCTCAGCCTGATCAGCCTCCCCTGCGGGCTCCTCGGGGGTGTGAGTCCCCCACCTTGCTTAAATGCGCCCCATATGCTGTGCTGCGTGTCCACCCCAGGCCCCTTTCACCTCCCGAGGGAAGGGAAGGGGACCGGAAGAGGAGGGGGCAGGGCACATTCGGGAGGGGGCATCACCCCAAGCCCCCCCCCCCCCCGTTCTTCCCCTCAAAGCTGCAGTTGCACAAGGCTGCTTCTCATGGGAAAAAAAAGTTCACCAGGAGACCACTCTTATCTTCCACTTGGGCTGCTTTCACACAGATTGGATAATACGCTTCCAATGCACTCTAGCAATCGTTTGCAAGGACTAAAGTGCACTGGAAGTGTATTGTCCAGCGTGTATGAGAGCAGCCTTAATGTCTACTTTGGCTGTTCGCTTTTGCACATCCAGGCTGCTTTCACGCAGGGCTGGGAAAGGCTGTTCCTGCTGTGCACGAGCCATGGATGGAATTGAGACACACCGGGGGGGGGGGCTTTCACACAGCCAGTCCCCACGCCACATGCTGCTGGTACTACCCCTCCCTGTCCCTCCCTGCTCATCAGGATCTGTAGGGAATCTTATTGCCACTGAGAGGAGACTCACAGCCCAGCCATAGCTGAGTTTTTGTTGTGGTAAGAATGCCGTTAAAAGCCTAAAGGGAGGTGGATGAATGCCAGAGCTGAAGGCGGCACTAAAAGCTCCAGCCCTCTTCCAGTCTTTCTCCCCAGGGAACCTTTGTCTACAGCCGGCACACTCTTT